GATGGTGGTGTTAATGAGTACTACCATGGATAGAGAGGGATTTAATGGAGACCAAATGAGGGATATCAAAGGATGGTATTTCCCATATCTTAGGGCATCCTAAAGATGCTAAGATGTAATCATAGAATGACCACTTATGGATGGATGGCTTAGTCTTGGAAAGACGAGATTGTATTGCAAGTGGTCTTGAACTACCAATGAAACAAGGGTAAATGGATATAACCTTATTGTAATAGACTGAGATATTAATGGTACTTTTGGATGTCGAAAATGATATTAAACGTGTAGAGCACTTAGACTAAATGTGAAGCTAATATAGTGTTGAGATCACATCTAGGGGTAAGTAAGTACCTTAAAGCAAATAAAGACTTACAGAGGTTATAAGTAAGACTCCTCCAAGAGGTCAAAGGTATAATTAAATGACTAAAGTAGAATGGAAAATTTAATTACTTACACCCATCTCTCCATCTCTCCATAAGTGGTCATCCTATGACTAATCCCTCTTTGATCATAACAATATTCATCAACATTGCCACTGAGATAGGGCCTAAAATTCTCTCCACTAAGTCCTATTAACATTTATAACTTCTTCATTATATAATAATACTCTTAATTACTAAACAAGAGGATTACTCGTCTTCCATTCCCCCAATAAGAACTTTGGGATGATATTTCAAAACATTATAGCCAACATAAACTTTATGAGTACTTTCTCCACTTTTTGCCATTAGGGTGCTTCAGCCATATAGCAAGAGTAAAGTTTCAATGAGCCATACAGTGTACCAAGTAAGTAGTGCCACCCAACCATTTGATCTCTTGATTTGAGGTGAATATTCAATAAGTCTTAGACTTGTCTAGTTTTGTACTCAATGTTTATATCATCACCCACCATATAAATATAGCATCCTTTAGTCACATTAGTTCCCGTAAAGTCTTCCCCCTTACTATCTTGCAAGGACTTATTAAAACTCTTATAGTCTCGGAGATGATTGCTTTGGGCTTTCACCCCATGACCTCAGCCTTAGACTTGATCTAAGACTTGATCTTAGACTCAACCTTGGACTCGATCTTAGTTTTAGACTTAGCCTCAACACTTTTATGTGTTATGATACTTACCATGTGTTAGTCATTTTTTTGTCCCACTTTATGAAATATATATATACATTCCCCAATGTTCTTATAGAGATTAATACAAAAATGGGGCCACCTACCCCTAAACCACACATTTATTTACCTTTGAGGTGTCCATGAGAAGCAATATTCAAGATTGTTGTTGTCTCATTGCATCTAAATCAATATTATCACCATATACTGTTGCTAGGATTATATTTAGAGGTCTCTATTTCCATGCAAATTGATCTCCATACCATAGTATAGAAGCCACTTGGTTAGCACATTTGATTTAGCCTGAGTTTGATCATTGCCAGCAATGGTCTCCACCAAGATGCCATTATTGCCAAAACCTAAGTTAGAGTTTGATCAAAATGGTTTTGATTTCTTGCCTCCTAGATTTCTTGGACTTTAATGGCTCTCTATACCACCCATCAATCTTATTTGACCATTTCTCATAGACTTCTACTTCAGCTGTTGCCACATGATATATATTTGACTCCATTGTGGGATTTAAAGATTTATGTCATACTATTTAGTTAAAGTGCTCCACATGTTTAAGTCCCACTTCAAACATCCAAAAGTACCACTAATTCACTTGCCTCTTATGCTAAGTCCATGTCCATTCTTACTATCTCATTAGTAATCTAATACCACATATACCATAGATTTGTCTCTCCAAAACCAAACCATCAAATCCATAAGTGGTCTTCTTATGACCACTCCCTAACATCCTTAGAATGTTCAAATATATTATCCTTTAATTCCTATTAAGTCTTTCATTGATCATGGTAGTGTTTGCCAACACCACCATTGGGTTAGGATCCAAAAGCCCATCAATTAAGTCCCACTAATCTTTGGGACTTCAGAGGAGTTAGAGTTAATTCTTAAGCACTTCACTAAGTCACCCCATTTATCCATCCATAGTTAGTGTTCATATCATTACCCGCAACATAAGTATAGACTTCTTTTGTTATATTGGTTTCCATAAAGTCCTCCCTCACTATGCCATAAAAACTTATTAAAATCTAGGAAATGATCACTTTAGGCTTTCACTTAACCCCCTAGCCTTAAATATATCCGTCTTGGATATATCAGGACTCAAGCATATATAGCTTTTGATATGTTTGACTTTAGACATTTGATTTTTCAGTGGGGTGAGATAGTTTTGATATTAGTCCACTTTAAGTCTTTAAGTTTTACAATTTTCATATGTCACAACACCTATCATATATTAGTTGTTCTTTTATCCCTTTTATAGACTTGTTTATCAATTACTTCATGCTTATCCTTTTAGTGTTTTTTTAGCTCTCAACTTTTCAAGTTAGAGCTTTTAGTCCATATATATTACACTTCTTAGATTTTCTTTCAGCCACTACTATATAGCATGCCTTTGGCTCCATTTTGAGACATAGGGATCTGTGATTTAGAATTGGATGAAGAAGTAGAGTAAGCTGGTGGTAAAGATTATAAATATTGAAATCATTAAAGAGGTAATATAAGCATATTAATATACATGAATTATTGGACATCTTGAGGTGGATGTTGATGATGCAAGTCATACAACAAGTCCTCAACCTAATTATTATTTAGGTGTAAAGATAATATATAGAAACCAATAAGATCAAAGAATAGAAAGCATTTCATGCATTTAAAGATGTTATTTAAGTGTAAAAAGTGCAATGTAGAATCCTTTATTGCATCATTTATAAATTATATAAAAATTGTGATGGCATATAGGTAAATCTAAAGAGACATTATGTTTAATCAATTTGACATTTAGTAAAGTCATTATAGACACTATAATATTAAGCTTCACATCTACTAATAGAATTTTAATATATGCTCCCTTGGTTCTTTGAATAAAAACTTTACATTCGTTTTGGACTTCTTCGATTGCCTAGTCAAACCAGTTGCATATTGGAAGCATCAATTCAGTATGAGCAAGAAGTTTTATAGTTATATCAAAGTAGGGATATTTCTAATGATAAATATCACTAAGTGTTCATATCCACAATGACTCTATGAGTGATTGTTTGTGGCAATGGCAACAATCGCTCAAAGTTATAGCATATTTTACTAGAGGAATGATGGAAAATTACTGAAATAAAAATAATATAATTAGTTTAGATCAAGTTATTTTAGAAGTTTATGTACCTCATAATGTATGAGAGTTGTTTGTGTGTTCAAGATAAATGCTATTTCCAAAACTTTGACAGTGCAATTCTATGATTGAGTCTCCTTACCCTCTAAGTCATTTGTTATAACAATAGTCAAAAAGGAATTCTCTTGGAAAAAACATACAATTAGGCATAATAGTTTACATTCTTTATATCAAGGAACTGTAAGCCTCAACAATTCTATCCTTGCTTGAGTGAATTTAATTTCTTCCTCACAGATAAAACAATTATAAGTAAATATAAATTTAATTTGTACTAAATGTCTTAACTATGTCAACTTAATGTATAACTAAATGTCCACCTAGCTTAGGTCTTTCATACTATGAGTCTAAAGTCTTTTGATCTAGAAAAACAAATGAAAAATAAACTTTATATTCCAACTCAATATTTGGATGGAGAAAAACTTAATATTCACCATTTGCTATGACTACAGTTTTGGATCCATCCATTACAAACACACATTTAACAAGCATACCAAAAGAGCATGAGTGGGATCCTACTAAAAAAGAAACCCTAAGCATTGATGAGTGACTAAGAAAATGAAACTACACTATATAAATTAGCTTAAAAACATCTAGAGTTAATCACCCTGTGTGCCTTATTTTGGGCAGGAAAAATGAAAAATGAAAAACCCAGGAATGAGCACAATAAAGATTGAAGCCATGAGGGGCATCAATTAAAAAGAATAGGATATTTAGTTAATATCTAAACTGTCGTGGATTCAGTGGAAACCCATTCCTCTGCAGCATGGAATGGAAGAGAGTTCTGGCACTGGCCTCTCAAAAGCCATGATGATTGCGTTGAAAGCAGATATCTACAGGATTTAGTGAGTTGGACTCTATCATTAAGGCGAGATAGCTCTGTTACTGTTTGCTGAGATAGAAGAGAATGGTGTCCAGCCAGACAAGCTGATCTTCGTTGCAGTTGCGGTGTTTATGGCTTGCGGCAGCATAGCAGTTGGGGAAGCAAAGTTGATGGAAGGATGGTTAAGGTGGCATGCTTGGAGAAATGAAAGGCTGTTCACTTCCGGCTTGCAAAGTTGAGTCCAGCGTGTTCGTGTGAAGCTCGCTGGCGGATCTGAATTATAGCAGCGTGGCAGATTCTCGAGACAGAATGAATTTCCTGGACCTTAATTATCTCCTGGAATTGAGCCGGGAAGTTAAGCTTGCCACGAGAAAATGCCGCACAGCGGTATGCGGTTTCCTGGAATTCACTAGCATGCGGTTTCCTGGAATTCAATAGCAGGATTCGTGCAGGGTGGAAGATCGAGACAGCTTTAGACACATATCGACATATGCTGGACAAAGGCTTTGTCCCAGACTCTCGGACGTACGTCTCGGCTCTCGGCTCTCTTGGTGGCGAGCAAGCCAGACACTGAACGGACATCTCCCTCCTGGACAAGGCTATAGCAATTTAAAGCAGACAGGCTTCCATCTCGACACTTGCGTGGCCAGCACTCTCGAAGCTTACGTCCAGTGTGGAAGCATAGCCGAAGCACAGGACGTGTTCGACGGGACTGCACAGCGGTGACGTTGTCTCATGGAATGCCATGGTTTGTGAGCGAGGAGCTATTCCAGCAAATGGAGGACCAAGTTTCGTCCCAGACGCTTGAACTTATGCCGCTGCACTGAACGTCTGCAGCAGTCTCGAGGCAGGAGGGAAGTTTTCCAGGGGAGTTTTGGTTCGAGAGATCCACGCGAGCTCGACGCCTTCGCAGCAAATACTTTGCTCGAAATGTTTGAGAGGATGCAAAGTCACGCCCACCAAAAGATCATATAGGATCTCGAGGTAGTCCTTTAGGTGGTGAAAAGCAAATCTACGTAATCATCCTTTACACAAACGATTCGATCAATGTAGGTTGATCGATGGTTAGATTCACGAAACACTGCAAGAAAAGACGTACGGCGGCATCCATCAGCGGTACGGCGCCTTGTTGCTGAAGTACTCGTCGCGGCGGGCGTTGCGGAAGGCGCAGCATCCGACGGAGTAGGCGACGACAAGGAAGACGAAGACGATGATGTTGATGATGGCCACCTTGCGCCAGTCCTTGCGGATGTTCTCCAGCACGCCCGCGCGGCACGAGTTGCAATCGAAGCACAGCCGGTCGGCGGCGTTGTTCCACGCGAAGCAATCCGTGTCGGCGGCTGGCGAGGCGCTGTTGATCCAGGACGTAGCGTTCTGGTAGACGAACCCACACGCGGTGGGGGGCTTGCAGCACCCGGACTGGATCGATCCAACACTAAAACATCAGCGGAAGAGGAAGCATCGCCAAGCAGGAAAAATCACCATCATCTCACAGAACAAGGAAGAATCCATCAAGCGCAAGAAGACGAAACATCGCAATCCAAGAAGAGATTATTTCGCGGGAGAAGGGAGAGAGAGCGACGAGGACGAAATATCGCGATCAAGCTCAAGAATACCACAAGAGTCGCAAGCGATAGGGTGAGCGAGAGGGAGAGAGATTCTTGCCTCGAGAGGAGTGAGCCGCGCGGCGGAGAATGCAGCCTCGGTGGGATACTCGTTGTCGAGATCGCGGCAGACCTTGGCGTCGGCGAGGCAGCTCTTGATCTTGTTCCAGTTGCCCGTGTTCTTGACGCGGCGCTCCAGCCAGGTGGAGTAATCCCCGAGCCGGTACTCCTTGTAGCCCTTGCCCGACAGCGCGTGGCCGGCGCCCCTGTTGGTGACCGCGAACGCGAAGATCGTGAAGGCGAGCAGCAGCATGATGAGCAAGAACATGACGAAGAGATAGATCCACAGCAGCCATGACACCCTGAAGCAGCTGCCGATGAATCCCGCCAGCGACACCACGAGGATGAAGACGCCAATGGCGATCACCGGGCCCTGGAGGAATCGCATACAAACCGTGTCGTGGCGCTGCGATAGCCAGATCCCAGCGCCGATGACCGGGATTGCCAGCGCCAGCGTCAAGAAATTCAGGATTCCTGTGAGGTAATTGCTAAGCCCCATTTTCTCCCCTCTTGCTCTTTCCTCCCTGTTCTTCGTCTTCCCTTCTTCTCTACACGATTGACCTAAGGGTAAGGGCGAATATCCCTCGGGTAGACCTGGCATATTCGTTCCTTAGGCTTGACGAGCCAGGTGTCAGTAATTCAAACTGGCCCCTCGGATTAGCCACGTCACATCTCCGTCCTTAAATATCGGGCGTGTCCACGTGTCCTGAAAATATCTGAGACATACGGTCGTACAGATATACATTCACAATCAATACAGAAGAGGTTTTGGTACATGGCCGCCATAGCTAGGGTTTAGGGTTTAGGGCAGGAGAGAGAGAGAAAGAGAGAGAGAGAGAGGAGAGGGAAAGCAAAGAGTGCAACGGTCACGGCATTGGTAGCGGCAGTGGCAGCGGCGGCGGCGCAAGCGCCAGCGCCCAGCGCCAGCGACGGCGGCATTCCTTGCAAGGCAGAGATCTCTCGATTTCTCGGACGATTGGAGGTGAGCTCGCGATTCAGTCGGCCACAATAGCTAGATTCCTCCAGGTAGTCACCATAGGGCAAGAGGGCAATGGGGCGTACATGCCCGCGTTGCCGCCCATGGGCTGCAACGAGCTAGCGGAGCTGGAGCTCGAGTCAGTGGCGCTGTCGGCGGCGCACCACCACCACCACCACCACCAACACCACCAACACCACCAGCCGGGGCTGCCCACGGCGGCGGCGGCGGTAGCAGCAGCAGCGGCGGTGAAGCAGCCCAAGCCCAGGAGCGCGGCGCGCAAGCAGCCCAAGATCGAAGCCCTGGATTCCTCGTCGCCGCCGGGGCAGCACGACCACACCAAGCTGGGCGTGAGGAGCAATGCAAAGTTTAAGAAGCCGATGCTCAACCCCGGCCACGCCTCGGGCTGGCTGGCGATGATGGAGACGGACGCGGCGGGGTTTCTCCTCGGCCACCACCAGCAACAGCAGCAGCAATGCGAGCAGGAGCAAATCGCGGGTGGCGTCGCGAGCAACAACGCCGCGGCCTCCCCCGCCGCCGCCACCGCCACGAAGGCCGAGAAGTCGGGCAAGAACAGTGGTGGTGCCAAGGCCGAGAGCTCCACCACCCGGAAGTACTACCCGGCTCCGTTCTGCTCGTGCACCGGGACGAACCAGCAGTGCTACAGATGGGGGAATGGAGGGTGGCAGTCCGCTTGCTGCACGACCAAGATCTCCATGTATCCGCTGCCCATGAATCCCAAGAAGAAAGGCTCGCGAGTGGCGGGGCGGAAGATGAGCGCCGGGGCGTTCATGAAGCTCCTGGACAGGCTCACGGCGGAGGGCGTGGACGTGAACTCGTCGGTGGATCTTCGCCCGCACTGGGCCAAGCACGGCACCAATCGGTACGTGACGATTAAGTGATGGACAAGGCTCTTTCTCGGCTCGATCATCTCTTTGGTTCTTCTCTCGTTTCTTTCTTTCTTTCTTTCTGCGTCTAATATCACAGGAGAGAGCTTTGATCGTCGATCGAGACCACAACTCCACAAACGCACATCAACCATGGTATACAGCGAGAAATTACAAGGTGTAATTCTACCGATGATGATGAAGTCTAGAAAACAAAAAATGTAGCTATGGAGATTTTTAAGGGAGGGCGAGAGAGAGTTATGTACATTTGTGAAGCAGATTGAGAGGAGAGGGAAATTATTTGCAAGGGGCAACACTACTTGCTTATAACTGTACATGGTTTTTCTCTCTATTATTTCTCCCTCGCGGAACATGCTCTGGAATATTTTTAGCATTATAGCCGTACAGATATTTAGGGCTCTTCGGCGCAACAACGCCGTTGCGGAGATCTTGCGAGGAGCTTTGAATGCTGGCTAGTGATCGATTACCTTTGGAAGGTATTTGTTAGAGTTGGATGTGATAGTAAGGTCACTGATCGACTGCCCGAAATGCCGTTGTCGAGATCTTGCGAGGAGCTTTGTTTAACAATGAATGCTGGTTAGCGATCGATTGCCTGAAAGGTATTTCACTGATTGGCTGCTTGGATATCATCTGGATTTACAGGACATACAAACTGAGATCTCATTCACTACCTTAGCTATCAAGGCAAGTTCCAATTGTGACTGATGCACAATATCAACATCGACGATCTATCGGACTTGATGTTGTTGCTCAAGGACGCGATTTCTTCTGGATTAAAAACTTCACCAATCCACGGATTTATCTAGCTTCCTCATTGGACAGTAGATTTGGAGCACTGCAAAGATGCAGATTATCTCTTTCTTTTCAAAGGTATATAAACAGCTTGATAAAACCGTTTTGGAGTTTCATATAATTCTCCTGGTTCGTACTCTGATAGTTTTCTGTTCTTTTTCTATTATTCTTCAGCTTCGAAGCATTTCCGCACTTCCAACGATGCTCTTGGTCCTTAAAGTTCTTGCTCAATCTTACGACTGTAAGTTTGGAACGATTTGCCTTTTATGACTGAGCTGAATCAGTTCTCAACAATTTTTTTACTGGAAGATAGCTGGTGTTTTTTTTTCCTTTACGAGCATCATCAGCCTTACCAGTCCCGACAAGAAGACAGAACAATCTGGAAACTACGAAACAAATCCTGTTCTTGAGTTCTCGCTCAATCTTACGACGGAACAATTTGCCTTTCATGACTGAGCTGAATCAGTTCTCAACAAATTTTTTTTCTGGAAGACAGTATCCTTGTATGTAGTTGCTGGTTGTTTTTCTTTCTTTCTTTACGAGCATCATCAGTCTTACCAGTCTTATAAAACACCGACAAATAGAGACAGAACAAACTGGAAACTAGGAAACAAATCCAGGCCTAAATACACGCGGTCCAGCGCGTGCCAAATGTGCAGTGAATACTACACAAAAGCAAGACGTGTCGAGTGACTGGTGCTCGATGCTAACTTGGACGCTCAACCAAATCCAAAACAAATCTCAACAGCCGCAGGTCAGTGTTTGTTTGTTTCATGTTTCCTCTGTACTCCTCCTCCACAAACTTTGGTGCCGTTTGCGAGCAGGAAAGCAAGATCTGTGGTCACGAGCCGGGAGTTTCTCAAATCCGATCTATCCAGGACACTCTGGAATTAAGAGATAAGGCGACATCCAGCCAGTAAGATATATTCATATATCCGCGAATTCAGAAAGCTGGTATGCGGTTTGATGTTTACATGTCACAGAGCTCTTTCTTTGCAGCTTCGTGAGGAAGACGCTCGCGGACGCCTCCTCGCCCGCTGGCTCCACTACGACTTCCACTGCTGCACACAAGACAGGCGGAACGCTTGTCTTTGCTTGAAATTTATGGCAACTTGGAACAAGCGACGAGCGAGGGGTGAGCGAGTGGTGAGCTCCTTACCCGGGCTTTTATTGTAGTTCTTGTGTTTTTTTTTTATCCTTTCCTGTCTTACGAACACGCTCCACAGCGCAGTGCATGACACAACAGTGGAGCCGCTTTGAAAAAACTTAGCGCCGGAGCGCAATGGAGACGAAACAGAAGGCAAGCACAAGCGTCAAAGTTTTGCGAGCTCTGAGAAAGAAACAGACAAAGTTTTGCAGAACTTCGCGTTTTCTTTTGGCAGCGGCATGACCTCACGCAGCAGTACACCGAAAAAGTTTGAAGAGTTTGAAGCTTGACTGTACTCGTTCCTAGACCACGGACAAATGCCAATTGGGACCAGCCACGGGAGCGTTTGTGTTTTTCTCGTTGCTGAAAGGTAAGGAAAGAGAGAAAGGTAGACCGGCTATTGTTTGCGTGCTCTTTAACTACTTACAGCTGCCTCGCTGTGTGCACTGGTCCCGAACGTTCCCTTTTTTGCATTCCTTACTCTCGCCAGTCACCATTTCTTTTTTTTTTATCTAATGGTGCAATCCAGGAACAGGAGATACGTATCATCAGCTCAGCTCCGACGGAAACGAAGGGTGCTCCGCTCAGCTGACTGAGAAGCAGGAGCAAAAGCTGCTGGTGTGTACAGGTGCAGGACCAGTTTCGGAGTTGTAGATTGTATTCCCAAAGCAGAGCTAGTGGCGCAGTTGTTACGTAGGTATGCATTGGTTTAAGAGCTCTGTTTTGATTGTAGAGAACCAACTTCATTTACACCGCCAAGTTGGTGCTTTCCCTAAAACTTCTCAAGTTTTTCTCTTGCTTCGCAACTTAGTGATTGATTGAGCTGGCTGTGGGGCAGCTTTATCGGGGCGGGGGACCCTGATTTGAAGATAGTTCTAGAGGATTTTAGTTGGAACTGAAGAATCATCTCTGTGCGTCTCGAGAGCCTTCCTCTCATAAGATGATTATAAACGCGTTTCATCAAAGACAAGGCTCTCTCTCTCTCGTGACTCCCAGCTCGTGTGATAGAGACAAGCTCGCAGGAGCCAAAACGAAACGACTTGTTAACTGCTAGTCACTATATTGCTCGCACTCAACGCACGAGCTTGGTTTTCTTAACTTCTAGATCTCCCTAGATTGTTAAACTCGTTCTAGAGCATTTTTGTTGGAAGCGGTGCTGGCCTGGCCAGCCAGCGTCTGGTTCTTCATCCCTGTCGAGAAGATCTTTGAAATGCTCGGGAAATATCTAGAGAGGCGTAACGAGTGGCTCAACAAGGCACAACACACACACAGACATCTCAACACTTGTAAGGAGAGATCGAAGATTTGCCCCGCTTTGGTCGTTTTCTCCCAAGGAAGACCTGTGACTCTCCCAGGGCCAGACTCCTCTTTCTCTGCACAAAGTATACAACACTTGGAGCTAAAGTTTGGATCGAGCTAGGCTGGCTTACATGTGAGATATGTGCTTAAATCCACGCTTTCCAACAAAAACACACACTAGATTCGATTGGTCATGTCATTCCATCCATTCAATCCATCGCTTCCAGGGGAGCGGGGAATAAACATGAATGGAAAAGGTGGTGTACAAATGTGTGGTTAATGCCGCGGCAGGGAGGACAGCAGCAACAAATCCACGAGATGGTGTTGGTTTTTGTTGCTTTGCATTTGTGCTTATTCCCACCATAATCCTGTTATCCACCGCCCAAAGGCATCTTTTCTGCAGTTGGTTGGAGATCATGGAGGCAAAGCCCAAACTTATAACCGATGATCGTCACATTCTTATATATAACTTTCTATAGATTTTGTATTTCTTAGTTTAATAAGGTCTATACACAGATGCGGTCGCTCGTAGGCGACAATTAAAAACGCTGCTGCATTCCAGCAAGTAGAAAAAGAAAGAAGAGAAGAGTATGTATGGGAAGAGAGGATAATTCGTCCCGGATTTGGCTGCTACCTTTGGTGGCGTCGATCAAATTCCCTGGAGTAAATAGTGCTACTGCGAGCACTATCAAAAAACGGGCCTTCATCGATGCCATCCGCTTGAGCAGCAGGAAAAAAGGAGCGAAGGAAAAAGCGAGAGAAAGAGAAAGAGAAAAAGAGTGTAAACCCCCATTTCGTATGTGTAGATGCTGCTGCTTGTGTTGCTGATAGTAGTTTTTTTGTTTTTCCTCCGCGTGATTTTGCGGTTTTTTTTCTCGTCAGTTGTTTGTCACTGTGCCGGAACTTCAATCGATGTCGGAACCTCAAAGTCCTTGTTGATGTTCATCATGGCGAGCCTTGAGTCGAGGAAGTTCTCGATGTAAAACTTCCTGCAATGGAATAGTCGAAGAAAATGTCGATAAGTTTGCGAGTCTAGATAGCTTATCAATCGACGCTCTTTTTGCCCACCTTGCTTTGCTTTCTTCCTCGGACTGATGCGATCGTTCGTGTTGAGTCCTGCATGGAACATCCGTGTAGAGAAGCAAGGCCTAGACAAAGCAAAGAAGAATGCCAAACATTGAGACGGAAGGAAAAAAAGAGAGTGATTTTTCGGTACCTCGATATAGTTTGTCACATCCAGAGTGAACCTATGGAACATTCCCGGAGGCAAGACGATGAGATCGCCCTTGCGGACGCGGAAGCGTATCCACTTATCATCGTAGTCACGAATGTCCCAATATCCTGGAAAAGAAGTTCCAAGGATAAAGCAATCGATCCCCCAAAACAAAAAATCTTCGAGGTGGGCGGCTCTCACCTTCGCCGTCGAGGATGAGACGGATCTCCTCCTGCGAATGCATATGCTCCTCGAAGAACATCTTTATCTTCTGCTCGTAGTCTTCCATGGCCTCCGGCGACACGATCTTGGTCTCCTGCAAGAACACCCATCAATGAGAACGAGGCAAAAAAAAAAGGGAAAAAAAAGAAATCTTTTTCCAAGTGTGAAAAGGAGAAAAAAACAAGTAAGAAAAGGAGAGAAAGAAAGGAAAAGAAGGAAAGAAAAATGCTCTGGCAAACGGAGAAACGGAACGTCCACCATAGCTAGCTACGAAGGAAGGAAGTCGCAAATATCTTCTTCCATTCTTACCGCATACTTGTATCCCCGCTCCTTCTTAATCTTCTCGAGCATTGGACTGTTATTCCAGTCCGTCACGTCCAGCTTCCATGTCAAAACTCCCAATCCTGGATCAGCAAGAAAACCGTAAGAATGCGAGGAATTGGATCGCAAAAATCGATTTTTGGAGCTCCCACTGCATGGGAACTGCAAAAGAAAGGAGGAGTTTGTACCATGGACGTGTTCCAGAGGGACTGGCCTGTTTGGGGAGTACTTGTGAGGCAGCCTCTGATCTTCATCGCTGGGATTGTACTCCCAGGCTTCGATGTCCGACACATAACTTTGTTGCTGCAAAAACCAAGAACAAAGAGAAAGAGAGAGAGAGAGAGAGTGAGAGAGTGATATAAAAATCAGTGGATGGACGCTCACCTCCTCATTGCCAGCAACTTTGCAGTAGTCTTCAGCCTTGGCCATGATGTTTTGGGAGGGATTCCGAGCTTTCAAGATTTCTCTCGTCTACTGTAAGAGAAGAAGAAGAAAAAAAAGCTCCCGCTTTGCTTCTTAGCTGTAGTCAAGGGCCGAGCGAGAAGCAGGAGTTTGAACGGCAACCTCTCAAAAACAGATCGAGCGACCGAGAAATCGAGAGTAAGAACAAGATTTGGAGAGCGGCGAAGAAGAACAGGAGAGATTCCAGAATGGAATGGAAGTGAATGAAGCGGAATATAGGATACATACGCATATATATATTCTTCCAAATTATATGTTAGCTTAACCCATGTATTTTGATATGACACGATAGCCACCATAGCTAGCTGTTACCTTACCACCACCACCACCAGAGAATTTTCCTGGTTTTAATCTTTCCAGGGAGACAAGGAGAAAAAGAAAAGGGTGAAATTTTTGTTTTTTGCCTTTCCTTTTTTTTTCTTGGAGAATGCTGGACTGCTTTGGGCTTCAAGCTTTGTGCTTTGTGTGTAAGCATCATTGCAAACACAAATAGTTAGGCAAAAGTTGACAAGGAGGGCATGCCTAGCCTTGAGCTCTTTCTACTGAAATGGCCAACAAAAGCTTATGTGATCATCCATTCCAAGGTTTGAAAGCCAAAGTTTTTACCCAAGATTTCGAGCTTTTTCTTTTTTTTTTCCCCCGTGACCTTCTACTTCTTTTGGTGTACGAAGGAAGAAAAAAGATGCAGTAGCAATGGAATCTTTCCAAGCGAATGTCGGGAAGCTGTACCCTCGACTGGTTGCATCGGAGTCTGCTATTTGGCAAAGCCTTTATGTTGGATGCCAGGCTAAAAGGGAAACCCATGAGAGTCGCGAGGGTGACGAAAGAACCAAAAAAAAGAAAGAAGAACAAAGAAAAGCTTGTAAACTTTGTGGTGACACCAACATCACATTTTTATAAGCATTAGAGCGACCACTTTGGTTGGTCCCTCCTCAGTGGTTTAGTCAAAACACAAAAACAAAGCTTTGCTAAAAGGAGAGATCTCTAGCTTTTGTTTTAAAGATCTGTGTCTCTGTGTCTCTTCTTACTGTGAGAGTGTCATTTTTGTAACAACGAAGCAATCACACAGATCAAGAAGGAAACGATCAGCACTAGGCTCCCCCTTTCCTTGTTCTTGCAGTCTTTCTGCTAGATTCTTTCAGGAATGACGTATGAACATTGGTGTTTCGGCTTTCGAGTGGTGTTACGAGTCAGATATTTTGTCCTGCGACGATTCCGTTTCTCATACGACCACGATCGCCCACTCCAAAACGATATAACAATTCGTCCAGCAAAGAAGAAAAACTTGGTTTTGTACAGCATGGCTTGTTGTTTACAAGCGACACACCCCCTCGGTAACATATTCCACTAGAACGCAACGTACACTGGATGGGGAATCTTCTGATCTCTACGGTTACAAAGTGTTCCTTTTGCTTCGAAAATGCACAACCTTCTTTCGGTGCTTTCGTAAGAAAACCATGTGGTATAGTGTATCTCTGTGATACAAAAGGCTACGTATGGCGCTATGACTTCCAGTTTTCTCGGTGTAGCACACACTCATGCCACTATATGCTTTGCCTGCTCGCTGCTGGTCTTTGGAAAGACCACCACCTTGGAACTTTGCGAGCGATCATAGCTTTGCGTTGTGCTTCGTCAGAGACAGTCAGAGGGAGTCAGAGAGCCTTGACCCACACATCAATCTTCCATGGACAGATCGCTCCATGTATAACAAAACAACAACAGAAAAAGAACAGAAAGAAGTTGCCTTACACGCGATATTCTAGATACGAGCTATTGTATTCCACGACCTTATCAATCCGTGTTGTTTGTCGCGAATTTCCGTCCACTGACCCGATCCCTCCAAAGAGTGAGAACTTTCACCAGAAGTTGGGAGGGACAATTATATCAAAGTTGGGGTCACGTATCGATCGATCAGTGACTTGTAAGATTGTGCTGTGGGCCTTATATATATTCTCCTGGCCCTTCCCAGGAGCCAAGAAAGAAGCATCAATCCAGTACACTATAGCGATACGAAATGAAGAACCCTAACTCTTTATCAATCCTAGAGCTAGTTCCATTTGGTTGGATCCAGCCAAGCTCACTGGGCTTCCTCGATCACGCACTTTGGTCGTCTGATGATGGTACTTGATCTCCAAGGACAATCATAGCAAAACAACACAAGAAAAACAACTCTGGAATGATCTGATCAAACAATTTGGAAAGAAGAAAAGAGTTTCTAAACACAACATCGATGAATGTTCTCCCCAGCAAGCAAACAAATCAATCAAAGCTGCCACACACGGAGCAAAAAGAAAAGAAAAGAAAAGAAAATCGAAAATTCTAAATTTTAAAAAACTTGCCCGGGCTTTACCTCATCCGCCACGTCGGCACGCCAGCGTGGCGGTCGTGGCGCCACAGCCTTGAATGTGGCAGCCGTCGACCCATCCATTTGCTCCGTTTATCTCGCCGCGAATCGTGGCGCCTCCGTAGCCGGTGGAGGGATCCAGTACCACTGCAGATCTTTTGCCTCGTCCGGGCACACATTTTTTTCTTGGAGCTTTTGGGAGGTTCATTCCAATGGTTCGTGAGGGACCAGTGAGACTGGAACAAGGGTGTCGCAGCATTGATTTCACCGCGAACAAGCGGCCAAAGCATCGGAATGCCGTGACATCAATGCGCGTCGCCATCGCCAATCGCCAAAAATCCACCCATTGATCTGCGACCAGCGATTTGAGGAGCTCGCTCTAGATCGGTCGATCGCCCATTTGACGAGATTGATGGTCTCCAGCTCCAAATTCTTTGATGTGCCAGGCCAATGTCAATGGCCCCCAATTTAATTCAAGTTCCGGCTGCCCTGGGGACAAGTCAGTCCGAGAAAAGAGCGACCCCATCGCTTGCGTTGCGGGTAGTGAGGTGTCGCGAGTTTGTCGTGTACAAATCATCGCGTTCTCGCTCTTTTTTTCTATGCTATAAAATTCGTATAGCGACCTTTGCTTGCATAATCGCCATGTGAAGATCATCCGTCCATTGTAGGGGGAGCTTTTTTTAACAAGGAAATACCACGCTCGCGTTCCATGCGCACATTAAAAAACTACGTACCGACCAAAAAGTTTCCTCTTTGGAGGGCAAAACATTGAAAAAGAGAATGTCAGTAACAGGAGCTTGTGGTGGGCTGGAGGTATAGCTCAGTGGTAGAGCAATTGACTGCAGATCAATGGGTCTCTGGTTCGAATCCGGATATCTCCTCCTATGTGCACTGATTTTCATCCATTTTCAGCAATTTTATTTGCTCTTCTTATCCATAGTTACATAAGGATGAGGTTGCGGAGAACTTAGATCTTGTGGATAGAAGCAGCAGTGAGGCTGTGCAAAACATAAGTTGATGATCAAAGATAACGAACTGTCTCTAGGCTGAGGAGATCTACCACATGATACCCTATTAATTATATGGTCATGACTGCAGCAGGTGCCTCCAATCAAACAAAACTCCTCCTAATAAGCTGGAATATATCTGGAGTACTTGAGATTTAAATAATTTAACCTATTATCGTAAAACAATGCACTATAAAAGGGTATTATATTTTATCTAATTTTTTCATTAATTAATTTCACAACCAATAAGAATTTTTAGTATTTATAACATACCATATGCAGAGAGTTATGGGACTTTAATCAGCTTCTTGATCAAGTCCACCACAGCCAAGGCAGCTTAAACTCAATTGAACTCAATCTCGTCTTGTAAGTTTTTGAGCCTATCAGAAACTCTTCTTCCCTACTGGCTACCAAGAGAAACTTCAGCATCGGGAAATATGACTCAGTAGCAGTAGCTTGTGTCTGGAATAGACGACACTTCGAAACACACTAGGAACTGGGAAGACTGCCTAAGTTTCTAAGAAGTAGCATGCAAGAAGAGAAAGAATCACAGTACCTCAATACGGCCGCGAGGCTTGTGTTGCATGTCGATCACTGATTCCTACATCCAAGAGAAGTCAGTTACCAGCCATTCTTGTGTCCCATTCGGGCGGCTTACATGTTTTTGGACGCTGCTTGTAAGAGTTTTTTATTGCAAGCTAGATCGAGCGGATCCGCGCGGACAAAAACGCCGGCTCCATGCGCCTTCATCCGAAATCCTGAACTGCTTCTGTTTGAAAACGGTAGAAACCTAGCTTTCAGAATAAAATACCTGCGTGCTGGAAGCTTGCGCTGTTGGAACTCAGTGAAAAGAGGTCCCGGCCCTGTGTATGCTGGACAGGAGTCCATACGCACTTGAATCGCCTGAATCTATCGTCGAAGCATGGCCGTGAGCATGAGTACCAATCCCGACTTCGTTGTGGCTCCGGCAAGCACCCAGCAGACACCTCCACGACGCAGCATCGGCTTTCGTCGGCATCGACTTCAACAGGTCCTCGGCCGCATCCACCTGACCAATGCGACCGAGGAGGTCGATGAGGCACGAGAAGTGTTCCAGCGTCGGAGCAATGCAGTGGTCCTCGACCATGGAGTTGAAAAACGTCCAGCCATGTCTCAAGAGCCCCCCGTGGCTGCAAGCCGATAGAATGTTGGTGAAGGCAATCTGGTCTAGATCGTTGCCTTCCAGTCTCATCTTCCAGAAGTTTTCCAGTGCGCTGCTGCCTTTGCTTCCTCGAGCGTATGCAGCGACCAAAGAGCTCCAGCTTATCGTGTTCGGCGTCTCTAGCTCGGCAAAGACGTTCTTGGCGAGCTCCAAGCAGCCACACTTCCCATACATGTGTACAAGCGCGTTCCCCAGGACGACGTCGAGCGGCGCTTCTCCGGCGAGTAGAAAGCTCTGGTGGACGAGCTTCCCGTCCCTCAGAGCCCCGGCCTTAGCACAAGCGGATAGAACTATCGACAGCGTGCTCTGCGACGGTTTCATCCCTTCCAGGTCCATGAGCTTCAGCAGCTCAAACGCCAGCTCCTTCTGATCGTTTTGTGCGCAGGCTGCTATGGTTGCACCCCAGGCGTCGAAAGTTGGCTCGGGAATAGTCCGCAGCAGCTTTCTGGAATCCTCTACCTGGCCTCGGAGGCCATAAGCCGCGATCATCACTGTCCATGATATGCCGCTCCATCGCGGCATTCTGTCGAACAAGCTCTTGGCAGCCTCGACACACTTGCCATGTCGACCAAACGCAGTGATCAGTGCGTTCCACGAAACAACAGTCCGCTGCTCCATCCTGTCGAACGTCCGCTTCGCATCGGACACCCTCCCACTCCGGCCATACTCCGATAGCTTGACGTTCCAGGACCAGACACTGTCCTCCACCTTCGCTGCTTCAGTCGCAAACCTCCGGACGGTGGCATTTTTTGCCACCTTCACGAACAAGGCCCGCGGACATAGAGACCGCATATACCTTGCATGAGCAAACCTTGAGCTATAAGGCTCTTGGGCTATATATAAAAGAACCATACATACCCTGTGTCCGTGAGTTGTGTTGTTGTCACAGGGAGCTTGGAGCCATGTCTGAAGACGTTGGAGCTATCCCGGTTGAAATAAAGAAGCTATGCAAGACCCCCTTCATCGCCGGAGCGGTGGCGCTGGACAAAACCATCCGGATCAGCTACAAGGTAAACAGGGACTGCTTCGTCTTCGAGCACCCGAGCAAGCTCAAGAACAACATCAGTGATCTCCACCAGGCCTGCAGCACCAAAAAGGATTACTCCCTCGAAAGGCCAAAAATCATGGCGAGCCTGGGCTTGTCTGGTATCCTGGACGAGGTGAAAACGTTCATGGGACCCGACCAGTTTGAGCACGAGCTCGTTCGGCTGTCGGTCTTCACGAATAAACACGAGTCGCCGGTATGGAGGAATAAAGGCGAGCACTGCGCCACCCTTTTGGTGCTGCTGCCAGGATTCCGAGGTGGCGATCTGGTTGTCAAGAACAACGATGGCTTGGAACTCTTCCACGAGTGGCACAACAATGATCTCAACTGGGTGGCAATCCGGAGAGGGTATGAGTACCAGCTGGAAAAGGTGAGCAAAGGGACCTGTGTGATGCTCACGTACCACATATTCGCTGCTCGAGCTCCAAAGACGATGAAGAAGGTGTCGCCGGTGCTGCCCGAGTTCTTGGCAAAACTCCACACGAGGGTCGAGCGCAAGGAGGTGTTTGGATTCCCGTGCGAGAACTTGTACCACAAGGCGCTGCTGGAGACGTGTAGCCCCGAGTGCCTGGCCAAGATGCTGCGCGGCCAGGACGCGGTGCTCTACAGCGCTGCCAAGGCCGCGAAGTTGACGGTGGAGCTGGTGAAGATCTGGGAGTCCTCCGGGGACGACGAGGGAGAGAAGGACATCTACATCGATCGCGCCTTCAAGGGATTCGAGGTGTCTGGCTACCGGTACAACAGGAAGGACGACATCCACCGGATCGAAGATATGATCAATGCCGGGAAGTGCCCCAGGGAAGTGGAGAGGGACGATAACATTGTGTGGGGGCCGGGCAAGCACCAGTGGCTGACGGGCGCGGTCCACCCCTACGACGACGTGGACGAGGAAGGCGGTGCGGTGACTGGGATTACGAGCGTACACTGCGCCGCCGCGATCCTAGTGACTGTGTCTGGCGCGACAGTCACCAGGACCAAGACCAAGATGAAGCGAACGCGGCAGGCCGATCAGGAATCCGAACCCGTGGAGAAGAAGGCCAAGAGCGAGGAATCTAGCAAGGAGTAGCAGCGAGAGGGCGGGGGAGCCCTAAGCCCAGCCAAGAACCCTAAAGTGGAGGGAGTGGACATTTTTTTTTTCTTTCCATGCTGACTTTGACTTTATTTGGCTAGAATACGAATTAAACCTTCAAAATCTAAAGTAGATACTGGCTGCTGCTGGAAGGAGCCTGCTTGCTCGTCCAAATAAGATCAGGCTGGCCGATCGGGGAGGGTAGCAATTTGCTAGAATAGAAAAGATAAATGAACCCCACCTCATCACCTCCAACCTCCCCATCGGGCAAGCCAAGGTCTCCCCGAGGTCATCTGGGAAAGCGACTCAACTCCTTGACTTCCTCCACGCCTCAGCTCAATTCTATCACCCTGCAGTAATACGCAATACCTCCCTTGTGCATGAGCTGGAAGCACGACGCATCGGAAGTTCACCTGTCAAAGCTCCATTTGATAAAGGAGAACATACTGTTCTTCGACCTCAAGGCAAAATCCAGCTCCTCGAACCTGCGCTCAATAGCTTCGCAATCCCCCTTCTTCACCCATTTGATTAGTGGGTTGTTTGCCAGCCAGCCTTGTACCACTTCACAATATCTCTCTCTCTGCTGCTTCTCCCAGTAGAACTCGTCTCCCAACATCGAGTGCGTTAACCACTAGTTCTAAGTCCTCATCGTTAAGTTCCGACACACTTCGCGTTGTCGAGACTTTTTCGCACAGAGCGTCAAGATCTACGCGAACACAAGGATAATGTTAACTTTAAAGTAATGGCATTCATTTGCTTTGAAGTAGAGGTGTCTGGGAATTCACCTTCAGAGGCGAGCAGGCTCTTCCTCGTCAAACTTCCCCAAATGTGGAGCCGAAAGAAACGGAGGACAACTGAGCTGCAGGTCGTGGACGTTGTCAGGAAGAAGCCACAACAACTGCGGACAGTCATCAGCGAGATGGCAATGACGTTTTATAGGGACTCGAAAGGGCTCGCATCGGAGATGGCACCAGGATCGCGGCAGCGCAGTGGACGCTCGTAATCCCCTTGCCTTACTCTCGTTCGTAGGGGTGGGCTACTGCTACGTTGGGCTGGCCGCAGTTATCGTGGCTATCGTTTCTCGGGGGAGAGATCCGGATGCTGTGGGCCGACGAGGATCTCTAAGAATTCTTCCTGATACGGCCGCTTCTTAGCTATTTGGGAAGTTCGACGAGGAAGACTTTGGTAATGAATTTATAATCAAATTCATTATATATACATGGTGATGGTACATGGTGAATTTATGTGGTAATGAATTTATAATCAAATATTATAATTTTTAAAATAATTTAACATATTACATTTTAGGCTAGCTAGATTACTACAAATATAAATTTTATTTCAATTTGGATCGCCAGGGTCGCCATGGGCAACCACAACAGTAAGATTTTCAGCTCAAGATTCTTCACTTTGGAGATCAGTCCTCAACGTTGCCAGGCAGATTATAGGTAGCGCCATTCTTTGTTTCTACATTCCTTACCTCACAGGCTTGTCTTCTAAGATCCACCAGCTTCCAGCTTCCAGGACGTTTGCGCAGTCAGATCTAAGTGCTCCAGCTTGTGCTCTCGTTCGATTTCCTCTTCATGTTGTTCCTTAGAAGGGATTTCAGGAGCTAGAAAACGGAGTTACATAAAAAGAAACTTGGAATACATCTCCGCGCTATGCACACGTTTGATTAGATGGCTAAAGCTCTGGCGTTCAAAAGTTTGCTAATCATATATCTCAAAACTTTGTTCCAATGGTAAGCATATACTTTTCGCTGACCATAACGGGCTTGACATGGTTCACTTTCCAATTTGTTGGTACATCAGTTGTACGTAAAGCTTCTAGTTTTGTGCTTGGTATAGATGAACTCCTTTGAATTCTCGAATTCAATCCAAATTCAGGCTCTTGCTGTGGTAGTATATACTGAGTTGGAGGATTTGGACTGGGACCTGTTGTGGAGGTGGGGGGTGAACGGCTTCTTGGGATCTTCATGGTGGAATCTATAAGATCTAAAACAGAAATTTACATACATTTCAGAACATTTTTGAAGGTTTTCAACATTGTTGCCAGTGGGGAGGTATTGAAAGAGACCTTGTTGCTTGTGTGGAGGTATTGAGAGAAATGTCAAAAGCAATTTAACAATGTTGTTTTATGACACAGGCTAACAGCGAGCATCCATGGCAATAGTTAAGTATGAGGGAGTTGAAGAAGCAGTGGTGACCAGAAAACGAGTTTTGGTGGCAGTTAAATTGTTTTCCATTTTCTCAAAGCACGGGCATGGTGGTGGTGATTGTCAGATGTTATGTAGAAATGCATTGAGTTGGTGGCTAAAGGTTGGAAGAAAAAAACACGGCCGTGGTTGCCACATCGGTGCCTACACCAACATGATTGAAATAATCTTTAGCTTAACAACTTTTATCAAGCTTCACAAAGAAATGAAAGACAAATCCAGACACACCTTGTAGCATATAGTTTTTTAAAATTTAATTAGTTGCAAAATTAGGTAATTAAATTATGTGGTCTTAATTAGGAAAAATTTTGGGAGTGGGAACAATAGTTATGGTTTGTGTATTAAAGAAAAATAGTTTTTAGTTTGTTGAAGCAAATGGTAGTGGATATATCTAAAATATGCTGGGATATTTTACCATCTAATGGTTGTTTTCATTTTTACTAATCATGTATTTATAATCTGTAAACATATAAACTTTCCTAAACATTTCCTAGTTTTCTATTTTATTCTATTATTTAATAAGATTAATCTTCTGTTTTATATGATAATAAATAATAAGAAATATTATTAAGAATTATTAATCTAGTTTGCAATTAGAGTATAAATATTTTCCATTATAGTTTGATCCTATAGCATGAATGGTTTTTCGTATAGTTGAGCTATGTTTTGTTAATTAAAAATAGTTTTTTTGATCTGATATATGAAACATGGGTGGCTTAAGTTTGTAGCATGTTTACTCCTTGAAAGAAAAACAAAAATGAAAGCCTTTAAAATAAAAGGTTGCATACCTCTTATTGTAAACATGAAGGACAAAAATAAGAAAAAAAGGCTAATGACAGAGTAAAATTAAAAAGGTTTTACCAATCATATTGTTGGTGCTCTCATGATCTTGCAATGCATGACTTAGTCTGGCCATAGGGCAGCTATGCATATACAACTAGCTATGGCAGCTATAGTATTGGCCATGGTAGTAACAACACTTGTTATGGCACCACACCCTTAGTTGAAGACATGTTTTTATCTATGTGGCGGCAAAGAGAGGAGATCCATTGGGATATTCCCCAACATACTTCATCATTCTCTCTCATGTAGGATTCTTCTTGTGCAATTCAAGAAAGAATGTGGCCTCCTAACTCAACTAGTTGGTTTTTCTATCCAATGAGCAAGTTGGGTAGCCTTGGATTTGCTCATCCTCCCTTGCTGTAGTTGCTTCCACATTTCTTGGAGGGATGCCCAATTGTGCCATATGGCAAATTTGGGATATTTTGTGGATATATAAGCAAATAGGGGCTAGTATCACCTTGCAGCAGAATTCATTATGTGGGCTGATACATCATTCTTCCCATTTGCTCAGCTTGTAATAGACATGCACAAAGAAGTGTTGAAGTCCACCATGGTCTGCCATAAAAACCTTTTTGTCAACCTCTTACACTTCACTCAGCAAAGCTTTCTGATCGAACAACTTCCCAAAGGTTCTCGATATTACAATCATGGCAAACTAAAAGCCCTTGAAACTCCTCTGAATACCTTCTCAATCCCTGTTCACCCATTTGATCCGTGGGTTCTCCTTCCTGTTTACCAACCAACCTTATACCTCTTTAGTATGCTTTTGTCTTTGCTGCTCTTCATACATTGCTCTT